TGGATCAGGCCAGTGGCCCATCCAGCCCAACACTCTGGGTCACACAGTGGTCAAAAACACCATGGGCCATAAGGAGGTCCACCAGCGGGGTCACAACTCCAGAAGCCCTCCCACTGTTGCCCCCCCCCAAGAGTACAGAGCATCCCTTGCCCCAGAAATAAGAACATAAGAGAAGCCAATGTTGGATCAGGCCAATGGCCCATAGTCACACAGTGGCCAAAAATACCAGGTGCCATCAGGAGGTCCACCAGTGGGGCCAGGACACTAGGAGCCCTCCCACTGTTGCCCCCCCCCAAGCACCAAGAATACAGAGCATCTCTTGCCCCAGACTGAGAGTTCCTATCTAGACCTCATGGCTAATAGCCACTGATGGACCTCTGCTCCATATGCTTATCTAATTCCCTCTTGAAGCCATCCATGCTTGTAGCCACCACCACCTCCTGTGGCAGTGAATTCCAAGTGTTAATCACTCCTTGGGTGAAGAAGGACTTCCTTTGATCCGTTCTAACCCGACTGCTCAGCAATTTCATGGAGTGCCCACGAGTTCTTGTATTGTGAGAAAGGGAGAAAAGGACTTCACTCTCTCTCTACTTACTACCTCATACTGCATCTCAACGTATTCGTTTTAAGCAGGTAACTAAAATACAGGAAAAGAGAGACCCCATTTGAGAGGCTGAGAAAACCTATCACAGATGTGCCGCCCCAATCCTGACCGGGGCCGACCCTGCTCAGCTTCTGAGATCTGGCGAGATTGGGCTAGCCACGGCCATCTGGGTCAGGAGCAAGGCTCCCTCTAAGCTGTGGAGTCTCATGAGCAGAAATTCTACTTTGTGTGCTACTGGCATTATAGTTGTGAGTGAGCGATTGGGCTGCTGCATAAATCGGTTTGCTCTGGAGCCCTCCTTCCTAAGCTAAGAGAAAAATGTGTGAGCCGGAGGCTAGAAAACTGTGAGCTAGCTCACACTATTTTATTTATTTGTTTATATTTATATCCCGCCTTTCCAGATATCTAGCTCAAGGCGGCTAACAACATTAAAATGGCATAAACAACCAAGTTAAAAACATTAATAAAACTGTGAGCTAGCTCACACTCACTCAGCTTAGAGGGAACACTGGCTGCTGCATAAATCAGTTTGCTCTGGAGGCATCCTTCCTGAGCTAAGACGAAAATGTGTGAGCCGGAGGCTAGAAAACGGTGAGCCGGCTCACACTCACCCAGCTTAGAGGGAACACTGGTCAGGCACACTGCTGGGGGGGGAGGGGGAGACTGAGATCGAAGCAGGGAGGCAGCCAGAGCGACCAAGCGGCTGGGGAGCCACGCCTGCTAGACCAGCCGCGCGGGAAGACCTGCCGAAGGAGAGGCTTGGCCCTCGCACCCGTCCCCGCCGGGGCAGCCCCCACCTGTGCGTGCTTGGCCCGCAGCTTGTTGAGGATGTTGGTGGCGTCGAAGCCAGCGTTGTCGCAGAGCTGACGGGGGATGATCTCCAGCGCCTTGGCGTAGGCGCCGATCAGCAGCTGCTGCTTGCCCGGGATGGTCCTGGAATAGTCGCGGAGGTACTTGGAGAGCTCCATCTCGATGGCTCCCCCGCCGGCAACGACAGAGTCGTTCTGAAAATGGAAAGGAAAAACCCACAACAAGGATGAGGGGGAGGAAAAGGTCACTTCCTTTCTCTGGGGATTCCCGTCAGCGCGACGGCTCGTGCCGGTCCGATGGAAGCGGCTGGCCGTCTGCCCGGCGCGAAACCTGCCTGGCGGCGTTTGGGAGAGCGGCCGGGCATCTGTCAGACCCAAGCGAGTCAATCCCGACCGCCAGTTGGCTGGCACGGACGGGAGAGCCACAGCTGTCGTGTGGTTTCGGCTCAAATTTCAGAATCCGCCGCCAAAGAAGCCCCAAATCCGTGCAGACAGACAGCCAGGCAATCGGCGTGGACTCTAGCGCCCCCTGCAGGTTGCCATACGCCCCCTTCGCACCTTAAGAAACCCACAAACCTGCGGTCACGCCGAGCGTATGTCCCATGTGAAGAAGCAGTGAATCCTGGCTCCCTGCCTGCAGGATTTTACAATTTTCGACAACCTAAAAAGTGACACCCCCCCTCCCCCCGGTGGTATCTGGGAAAACTCACTTACAAAGCAATGCTGCTGATTCATAGAGGAGCATGCATAAGACTCCAGGCCAGGGGTCATCTCCTGTGGGAACGCACAGGAGCGGAGCTCTGGCAGTAAGGAGCTCAGGGGGCGGGCACATACAACAAGCCCCACCCCCTGCTCCCAGCAGCCCTCAGTTGGGCCATGAGGAGCAAGAATCAGCCAGGAAACAGTCCAGTGGCACCTTTAAGACCAAGTTTTATTCAGGTGCAAGCTCTCCCTCCTCTGTGAGGGCAGAGTTGCACGTTCCCCCCCCCATAGCTAGCAATCCAAAACAGTCCAGTGGTACCTTTAAGACTAAGTTTTACTAAGGTGCAAGCTCTGCCTCCTCTGCAAGGACAGATGCCCCCCCCCCCCCATAGCTAGCAATCCGAAACAGTCCAGTGGCACCTTTAAGACCAAGTTTTATTCAGGTGCAAGCTCTCCCTCCTCTGTGAGGGCAGAGTTGCACGTTCCCCCCCCCATAGCTAGCAATCCAAAACAGTCCAGTGGCACCTTTAAGACCAAGTTTTATTCAGGTACAAGCTCTCCCTCCTCTGTGAGGGCATAGCTGCTTGTCCCCCGTTCCCCAATAGCTAGCAATCCAAAACAGTCCAGTGGCACCTTTAAGACCACGTTTTATTCAGGTACAAGCCCTCCCTCCTCTGTGAGGACAGATCTGCACGTCCCCCCCCACAATAGCTAGCAATCCAAAACAGTCCAGTGGAGCCTGCGCAGTGGGTGTTGCCTTCTGACACACTTCCGGTGACGTCAGGGGCGTGGCATATGCAAATAAGTTAGGCTAATGAGTTATGCTAATGAGCTCCTGCCCCTCTTTTTCTACAAAATGACCCCTGCTCCTGGCCAGCAAGCAGAGGCTGTTTTGCAGACCATCTGAGCAGGCAGTGGGCAGGCAGCCCCCTCCCGCCAGAGACCACGCTTGGCCCTCTTTTCGTTCCGTTGGCGTCAGCAGCAGCCTTGTCTTAACTCCTCTGCCACCCCTCCAAGTCACACAGAGGGCTTCGCAGAGCCAACACATTCTGCTGAACTGGGTGTGAGAAAGCCAACGTTTCTCCGCAAGCCCTTGTTGCCTTCAGAGACCCGATTTAAGGCAGCTCTGAAGCTCCACCACTTTGGGAGAAACTCCTAGACGAGAGATCGGCCACAGCTCCCCTGATCTTCTCCCCAACTGCGCCCCCCCAATAAACTTTTCAATTCTCTTCACTACAAAGACCCTGCTAATATTTCGAGACGTGATTAAGCCGGCAAATCTACACAGATGTTCAAAAGCAGAGTTGTGGAAGTCTATAGTAGCTGGCAGGGAGAGCAATGAACCTTATTGGACTTAAGTGAGAACGCACGAAAGATCTTGCCTGCTTTTCTAGCTGAGGGGATCAGCAGTGACGTTTGAAGCGGGAAGGCCAGTTACACTCGCCAAGTAGAAGAAGAGGGGACTGGATTTACACCCTGCCCTTCACTCAGGAGTCTCAGAGCGGCTTACAAACTCCTTTCCCTTCCCCTTCCCACAACAGACACCCTGTGAGGGAGGTGGGGCTGAGAGAACTCTTGACAGAAACTGCTCTTTTTCAAGGACAGCTCTTATCAGAACTACGGCTTGCCCAAGGTCATCCAGCCAGGTGCAAGTGGAGGAGTGGGGAATCCGACCCGGCTCTCCCAGATTAGAGTCCGCGCACTTAACCACTACCACCAAACCGGTTTTCCTCCAAGGCTCTGGGGACTCAGGGGCCACCACAACGTGGCACAGTCCGTTAGAAAGTTTGCCGCAGGACTGCTCTTTGGGTCGTATGCTGGGGCTACACCACACAGACCGATCCGAATGGGGGGCCAGTGCAGTGGCAGCAGGTGGGCAATTTGGAGCGGAAGGCCCTGGGTTCCTTCTAATTCTGACTCTATGAAGGGTCAGGGGGATATCGACAGAGAACACAGTTCATCTGGCTGATTTGGAAAGCCGCTTCCCCCAAGTTAGTATTCTCCAGTCTGGTCACATGCAGTGTTCCCTCTAAGCTGAGTTAGTGTGAGCTAGCTCACAGTTTTTTAGCCTCCGGCTCACACATTTTCGTCTTCGCTCAGGGAGGAGGGCTCCCGAGCAAACTGATTTATGCAGCAGCCGGTGTTCCCTCTAAGCTGAGTTAGTGTGAGCTAGCTCACAGTTTTATTAATTGTTTTCACTTGGTCGTTTATGCCATTTTAACGCTGAGCCTTGTATCTGGAGGCCTTGAGCCAGGTATCTGGAAAGGCGGAATATAAATATAAACAATAAATAAATAAAATAGTGTGAGCTAGCTCACAGTTTTTTAGCCTCCGGCTCACGCATTTTTGTCTTGGCTCAGGAAGGAGGGCTCCAGAGCAGACTGATTCATGCAGCAGCCAAATCGCTCGCTCGCAGCTTTAATGCCAGTAGCTCACAGAGTAGATTTTTTGCTCACAAGACTCCACAGCTTAGAGGGAGCATTGGACATGCCCATCTTTTGGGACCCAGGGAAGATTCATAGGGTTTAAAAAAAAAGAAGAAGGTACCAACGCTATTCCAATTCACACAGATTCTCTGCCAGGTTGCCTGCAGGCAGGGCTATTTTTGGGCAGGAACGCACAGGAACAGAGTTCCGGCTGGCTCCCACATTGGCCATGCCCAGCAGGAACTAATTAGCATAATAAGGCCACACCCAACAGCAGAAACTCATTAGGATTGGCTACATTACGGGTGTGTGGCCTAACATGCAAAGGAGTTCCTGCTACAAAAAAAAGCCAATAAACAAAGTAAATAGAATAAGAAGCAAAAGGTGGGTGTGGCTGGATGATCACACTTCTGGTAACATGGGGGTGTGGCCTAATAGGCTAATGAGATGTGCTGTCAGGGTATGGCCTAATAGGCTGATGAGTTTCTGCTGTTGGGTGTGGCCTATTATGCTAATGAGTTCCTGCTGGGCTTTTTCTACAAAAAAAAAAAGCCCTGCCTGCTGGTGATTCTTTATTGCCAGCAAGGGACCAAGCAAACAGCGGTCAACAAGTCCAAGCCAGCCACTCCAACAGAGGTCAGGCCGCTCCCCACCGTACCTTGATGGCTCTTCTGACGATCATTATGGCATCGTGGAGGGAGCGCTCCGTCTCCTCCATGAACTGCTCCGCCCCGCCCCGCAGGATTATCGTGCAGGTCTTGGCCTTGGGGCAGCCCGTGAAGAAGTTATACCTGTCAAGGTGTAGGACGAGGGAAAAATGAATGTGATTTCTGAATGAGGGTTTTGACATTCCCTCTGACATGTTAATATGCTGACAAGCTGTTACCGTGCCTTCAAAAGTTTAACCATGATAGATCCAGATCTTGGCATGTAACCTAGAATTTTCTGATTAGAGAAACTTATAGCAGAATATATATTTTATAATTGCATTTCTTGTATAAGAAGCCATATTAAGCAAAAGTATTGTTAGAGGCCTCTGGGGATAGAATTAGGGTGCAATGAGAATGGAATGCGTATCCGAGAAACTGCAAGGACGTCAAGAGCAAAGCTGAAATGTGAATCACAACCCTTATCAACCAGCTCCCCAGAAACAGGGGAAAGAGGGACTAGCTTTGCTAAGGTCAGAAAGGATCTCAGTGTTCCCTAATGTTCCCCTTGCTCTGCAGAGCAGATAAGCAAATGCAGTCCCTGACACACATGACCAATAGTAAGGTTTAAAGTCAAATGATGCTTGTATGATGGTAACTGCCTGGTACCAATTAGAGCAGGGGTGTCAAACATGCGGCCTGGGGGCTGGATCAGCCCCCCAGAGGGCTTCCATCAGGCCCCCAGGGGAACTGGCCATATCTCCTGCTTCCAGTTCTGCTGCTGCATCATAGCTTGCTTTGTCAGACTCTATTAATCACTCAGCCATTTCATGTTTTAACCTGGGTCCCAGACTCAGAACTCCAAGCATGAGATTTCTGTGGTGAATGTCAATAAATCAAAAGTAGGTTTGCAGCTCACAGAGCTAATGTTTTAAACATGTTTTTATTTTAAGTTTTTTAAAAAAATCTTTGAGTTTGTGTCCTTTATAAAGTTTATATCTCCACTACATTTTATTGAAACACATGGCCCGGCCCAACAAGGTCTCATTTATGTCAGATCCGGCTGTCATAACAAATGAGTTCGACACCCCTGAATTAGAGACTCTTTAATGTGTAAACTATATGTAATGTCAATTGGGGTATAAGCAGGGGTCATTTCCTGCAGGAGCGCACAGGAGTGGAGCTCCGGCAGTAAAGAGCCCAGGGGGCGGGCACATGCAACAAGCCCCGCCCCCAGCAGCCCTCAGTCAGAGCAAGAAGCAGCCAGGTAAGCTGCAGAGGCCCCCCCCCAGCCCAAAACAGTCCAGTGGCAGCTTTAAGACCAAGTTTTTATTCAGGTACAAGCACTCCCTCCTCTGCGAGGACAGATCTGCACGTTCCCCCCCCCCAATAGCTAGCAATCCAAAACAGTCCAGGGGAGCCTGAGCGGTGGGGGTTGCCTTCTGACACACTTCCGGTGATGTCAGGGGGTGGGGCATATGCAAATAAGTTATGCTAATGAGTTACGCTAATGAGCTCCTGCACCACTTTTTCTACAAAATGACCTCTGGATATAAGACCTACTTGCCCTTCCTGGTTATGGCAGAATACAGCTTTGGAAAGGCTGAAGTGAGAAGGCACTCAGCCCTGTATTCCCCGTTTCAGTGCAGATGTCCAGTAGCCCTGTCATGGATCTGGAATGTGGAGGGGTATTCTCCTTCTCAGCTCTACCGTGCTCAGCTACTGTGCACTCTCTTACGTTTGACCTTGTAGATGTTCCAGCTGCAGTTTACACAGCTGGGAAAGTTAACGGCTTCTCTGCTCTGCTCGCTCGGCCGCGCGCATGAACTACATCCATTGGCTTATGCTTACAGGGGGAACGTTTGATTTTACTATAAGTCAGAGGCCCTAGTATTACCGGCCATTCCTGACACAAGTTGTACACGTGTTCTTTAGTACTGGATCTACTAATAAAACAGTTACCTTCTTATGAAGCCCTGTGTGGCGTGACCTGACTAAGGACCCTGAGAGCATTAAACAGATATTCACCTAACTCGCTGGACTCTGACTGCGTACTTCCAATTCGGCAATGGGAGCACGCAGGCAGATCTGTGCATCAAAGGGGAGGAAGACGGGCACAAGCACAAGTTAAGAGACAGAAATGTTCAGTAAGCAGAGAGGGGAGATGGGGAACGTTAGCCGTGGAAGGGGGAGGAGAAAAATCCCAGTGCCAGGAAGGGGGTCTTGAAGATCGGCAAGTGAACTGAAGCAAACCGCACCCCGTGGCGAAGGGTTTCCCTGCTCAGTCCACGCTTACCTCTCCCCTCCAACCTGCACCTCCTCAAAGAGTGCACAATGGCCCAGGACGTCAGGCGTGAGGGCACCGGCGCTGGTCTGAATGGAACCGCCACAGGCCTGTGAAACACAAAAAGAAGAAGGTGGTGTCAGCACGGGAACCAAGGTGAGTAGGGGGTTGGGGCACCTTCCCTGTGAGGAAGGGCTGAAGAGTCAGGGACTTTTCCATTTAGAAAATGGGTGGGGGACACATGAGAGAGGTTTCCAAAATTACACGTGGGGTGGAGAGAGTGGACAAAGAGAACCCTTTCTCCCTCTCCCAAAATACTAGAACTCGAGGGAATCCAATGAAGCGGATGGGCAGTAGGTTCAGGATGGACAAAAGGAAATACCACTTTGCAAAGAGAGTACAATGTGGAATTCGCTGCCAGAGGACGTAGGGACGGCCACAGGAACGAACAGCTTGAAAAGGAGATTAGATCGATTCATGGAGGATACCTCGATCAATGGCTACTAGCCGTGGTGACTGAGGGGAACTTCCACATTCAGAGGCACTAATCCTCTGAATCCTAGAGTCAGGACACAACATGAGGAGGAGGCCTCGGGTTCTATGCCATTGTTGGCTATCCTGAGGCAGGAGGCTGGACTGGATGGACCCTCCCTGGTCTGATCCAGCAGGGCTCCTCTGAGGTTCTTATCAGGGGAAGGCCTCGGCCTCTCTGCCCTGTTGTTGGCCCTCCAGGGGAACTGGCTGGCCCCTGTGTGAGACAGGATGCGGGACTAGATGGGACCCTCACTGGTCTGATCCAGCAGGGCTCTTCTTATGTACTTATGACCCGGTGCTATATGAATACCAAAAACACAAACTGAGGCCTACTAAGCCAGAGTTTCGGTTATTATTTTTTTTACATATTACTGCCTAATCAATATAATCTAACCATCCTCCAATCTCCCACACCATTTATTCTGTATCCACACCTATGCTTTAAAAGCGTCTAATCATGCCGGCCACATGACCACGGAAACGTCTTCGGACAGCGCTGGCTCTTCGGCTTGGAAACGGAGATGAGCACCGCAACCCTAGAGTCGGATTCGACTGGCTTTCGAGCAAGGGAGACCTTTACCTTTACCTTCCCTTGCCAGTGCTCCTGCCCTGACACACACACACTCACCCCACCCCCGGGCGCCTGGCCAAGACGAGTTGGGGGGGGGCTTGCTCACCATCATGGTCCTCTTGAGGTCTTCCTCGGGGACCCGGCCAGCGCAGAACATGTCCCTGTCGGCGAAGTACTGGGTGGCCACGTCGCCAATGGGAAGCTTAGACAGCACCACTTTGGCCCCCGACTCGTACAGCTTCTCGAGCTTGTCGTACAGGATGTTCCACTCGGCGTCCACGATGGCCTGGTAATCCTGCGGAGGGAGAAGAAGGCGAGAAACCTTCAGAGCCAGCTGCTGCTGGGCGGGGCCACACCTGCCTTCAAATCCCCACCCACTCACCCATGAAACACACGAGGCGACCTCGGGTCGAGCATTCATTCACTCTCTCTCTCTCTCTCGGCTTGAACTGACCTCACAGGCTTCTTGCGAGCATGAATACGCATGAACGCACGTGAAGCTGCCTTATACTGAATTAGATCCTCAGTGCGTCAAGGTCAGTACTGTCTATACAAACTGGATGCGACTCTCCAGGGCTCTCATGAAGAGGTCTTTCACTTCATTTACTGCCGGATCCTTTAACGGGAGAGGCCGGGGTTTGAACCTGGGACCTTCTGCACGCCAAGCACAGGCTCTACCACTGAGCCATGGCCCCCTTCCTTGGCTCTCCAGGGTCTCAGGCGGAGGTCTTTCCCATCACCTCCTGCCTGGTACTTTTCAACTGGAGATGCCTGGGATTGAACCTGGGACCTTCTGCACGCCAAGATCAGGCTATACCACTGAGCCATGGCCCCCTTCCTTGGCTCTCCAGGGTCTCAGGCGGAGGTCTTTCCCATCACCTCCTGCCTGGTACTTTTCAACTGGAGATGCCTGGGATTGAACCTGGGACCTTCTGCACGCCAAGATCAGGCTATACCACTGAGCCATGGCCCCCTTCCTTGGCTCTCTAGGGTCTCAGGCGGAGGTCTTTCCCATCACCTCCTGCCTGGTACTTTTCAACTGGAGAAGCCGGGGTTTGAACCTGGGACCTTCTGCACGCTAAACACAGGCTCTACCACTGAGCCAAGGCCCCCTTCCTTGGCTCTCCAGGTTCTCAGGCGGAGGTCTTTCCCATCACCTCCTGCCTGATACTTTTCAACTGGAGATGCCTGGGATTGAACCTGGGACCTTCTGCATGCCAAGCAGAAGCTCTACCACTGAGCCATGGCCCCCTTCCTTGGCTCTCCAGGGTCTCAGGTGGAGGTCTTTCCCATCACCTGTTGCCTGGTCCTTTCAACTGGGGATGCCTGGGATTGAACCTGGGACCTTCTGCACGCCAAGCAGAGGCTCTACCACTGAGCCACGGCCCCCTTCCTTGGCTCTCCAGGGTCTCAGGCGGAGGTCTTCCGCATCTCCTTCTATCGGATCCTTTTAGCTGGAGATGCCGAGGACTGAACCTGGGACCTTCTGCACGCCAAGCAGAGGCTCGACCACGGAGCCACGGTCCCCCCCCATAGGGCCCCTCAGTTGAGGCTCAAGGAGGGGTGTCAAGGTGGTGATGAAGGACTGTATTATGCAGGATTCAAACCAAGCCATTTAAACCAGGGGGCAAATTCTACAGAAACTGCAGTCTCTGAGAGGCCCTTGCTGAGAAGTTACATCCACCCTCCCTCCTCCGTATCACAAATCCGGCCTTTTACCGCCACAGTGTTGACCCGGATTTCGGCGTTGTCCTTCTCGGCCTTGAGTTCCAGTTCAATGTTGAGCAAAGCGATCTTGGGTGACTCGTACTTCTTGGGCTGCATCTCAAAGCCGGCGTAGGAGAAAGTCTTCTTGAAAGCGACCCCTGCCACCAGCTGGGAGTCCTGGGGGGGAAAGCCGGCCGAGTTGAGATCTGGGTAAATGTGCAAAGCTTCTAGGAGTCCACCGGCCAGATCGTGCCCTGAACACCACAACCAAGAGTGCGGCACTGCTGGCCTCATTTCTCCCTTTAATTAATGATGACCAGAATCAGGGCTGGCACTCCAGAAGCGGCAACCCAAGCATAAGGACATAACAAAAGCCCTGCTGGATCAGACCAGTGGTCCACCTAGTCCAGCCTCCTGTCTCACACAGGGGCCAGCCAGTTCCCCTGGAGGGCCAAACAACAGGGCATGGAGGGCGAGGCCTTCCCCTGATAAGAACCTCAGAAGAGCCCTGCTGGATCAGACCAGTGGTCCACCTAGTCCAGCCTCCTGTCTCACACAGGGGCCAGCCAGTTCCCCTGGAGGGCCAAACAACAGGGCATGGAGGGCGAGGCCTTCCCCTGATAAGAACCTCAGAAGAGCCCTGCTGGATCAGACCAGTGGTCCACCTAGTCCAGCCTCCTGTCTCACACAGGGGCCAGCCAGTTCCCCTGGAGGGCCAAACAACAGGGCATGGAGGGCGAGGCCTTCCCCTGATAAGAACCTCAGAAGAGCCCTGCTGGATCAGACCAGTGGTCCACCTAGTCCAGCCTCCTGTCTCACACAGGGGCCAGCCAGTTCCCCTGGAGGGCCAAACAACAGGGCATGGAGGGCGAGGCCTTCCCCTGATAAGAACCTCAGAAGAGCCCTGCTGGATCAGACCAGTGGTCCACCTAGTCCAGCCTCCTGTCTCACACAGGGGCCAGCCAGTTCCCCTGGAGGGCCAAACAACAGGGCAGGGAGGGCGAGGCCTGCCCCTGATAAGAACATCAGAAGAGCCGTGCTGGGTCAGACCAGTGAGGGTCCATCTAGTCCAGCCCACGGTTCAAGGTGTCAGTGTTGACTTTCAAGGCCTTGAGCGGTCGTGGGGGCAAGGCCCACACTCCTACCTGCATCATTTTTTAAGATGATGCCAGTTTGGTGTAGTGGTTAAGTGCGCGGACTCTAATCTGGGAGAACCGGGTTTGATTCCCCACTCCTCCACACAGCTGGTGTGACCATGGGCAAGCCACAGCTCTCTCAGAGCTGTTCTCTCTGGAGCAGTCCTCAAGAGAGAGCTCTCAACCCCCCCACCACCACACAGGGTGTCTGCTGTGGGGAGGGGGAGGGAAAGGAGTTTGTCAGCCGCTCTGAGACTCCTTTGGGTAGTGAAGGTATAAATCCAATCTCTTCCTCTAAGATATTTATTCTGTCCTGGACAGAAGGTCTCGACAAGTACAGCTGGATTAAAGCTGATAGGGACAGAATCGTTGCACTTTCCAGTTTGTGAAAATCTGGGAGTCTCTCGGTTTAGCATCTGCAAGACCAGCCTCCCACTATTTGGTGACTGTCTTATTTTCACAAACTATGGTGTTCTAAGGAGAAGAAGAAGAAGAGACTAGATTTATACCCCGCCCTTCACTCGGCGTTTCAGAGCAGTTTACAAACTCCTTTCCCTTCCCCTCCCCACAACAGACACCCTGCGAGGTAGAAGAAGAAGAAGAGGAGGAGATTGGATTTATACCCCGCCCTTTACTACCCAATGGAGTCTCAGAGCGGCTTACAAACTCCTTTCCCTTCCCCTCCCCACAACAGACCCCCTGGGAGGTAAAAGAAGAGAAGAAGAGATTGGGTTTATACCCCACCCTTCACTACCCGAAGGAGTCTCAGAGCGACTCACAAACTCCTTCCCCTTCCCCTCCCCACAAAAGATACCCTGTGAGGTCGGCGGGGCTGAGAGAGCTCTTTCCAGAACAGCCCTTGAGAGGACAGCTCTGACAGAACTGTGGCTTGCCCAAGGTCATCCAGCAGCCATGAGTGGGAGAGTGGGGAATCAAACCCGGTTCTCCCAGATCAGAGTCCGCGCTCCTAACCACAACACCAAATGGGAAAATCCTGCACTAACTTGGAGAACGGTGATTAATTTACTAGGGTCGCCAGAAGTGACCTGATAGCACTTCACACACACACACACACAGCTCCACTCTCTGCACAACTGGCACCTCGGATTCTGACGGATGAGAGACGGACACTGCAATCCCATTCAGAGTCACTCCAGTCTAAATCAATGGACTTAGACTGGAGTAACACAAAGTCAAAGACCTTCAATGGCATAGCAGTAAGATACATAGATGTACAATTACACGGTATGGATATATAAAACATAATAAACAATATGAGTCAATCCTTGACCAGAGTAGATCTAACTTTGACTACTTCGGCAAGAAATTTGGTGTAAGGAAGACACCAACTTGTCTGTAACACAGCAACACTGTAGAACTGAAGGATGGCAGGAGGGGGAGGATCGACCTTGCAAGTCTTTACAGGAACTGTCTGGTACTCAGCTTTGCAAGAGCAGCACAGCTGAGATCTCTTAATTGACAGCTGCACTGGAGACAGGGAGGGGCAGCGTCTTAACAGGTCCTTCGAAAGATAAAATAGCAAAAAGGTGGAGGGAGGGGGAAGGTAGCATGCGTCTGGAAGGCAGGATGTTTTCCTACCTTGTGGAGTCATTGTAATTTCTAGTTGATTTTAATTACTCTTTGTATTTTGGCAACCCCCTGAAGGATGTGGAATTTTCTTTTTTCCTCGAAATATTGTTAATTGAGGTTGCCTTTGTTTTTTTGTAATAAAAGCATTTTTGCCTGATTTGCCAAACTGGAGCGTAGAGCCTGAACCTGGGTATTCTGGCAGAGAACCCGAAGCCTGTGTCTTACACTTGGCCACTGGAGTAACTCTGCACAGGAGGGCACTGTAAATGGGTAGGCGGTCGGTGCAATGAGACGGGAAAATGGATTCAACGACAGGACCGAAGGCCGAGAACTCACTTCCAGGGCCCCTCCTTGCACTTTCTTGATCCCGATCATTTTGATCTGCAGGAGCTCATCCAGCATCATGACGGCGTCCACCACCATCCGGGCAAAGAAGTCCTTGTGCTGGGCAATCATCTTGGAGCTCAGGGCGGTGGAGGCGCAGTTCTCCAGCAGGTTTCGGAACTCCCTGCGGGGCGGGACGCACACACGCATCAGTGCCAGCCCACATCCCACACAGCAGAAACACTGCAAAGCTTTCCCGAGTCACGACCAGGGGTCATTTCCTGCAGGAGCGCACAGGAGCGGAGCTCAAGCAGTAAAGAGCCCAGGGGGCGGGCACATGCAACAAGCTCCACCCCCTGCTCCCAGCAGCCCTCAGTAAGAGCAAGAAGTAGCCAGGTAAGCTGCAGAGCCCCCCCCCCCGACCCCAAAACAGTCCAGTGGCACCTTTAAGACCAAGTTTTATTCAGGTACAAGCTCTCCCTCCTCTGTGAGGACAGATCTGCACGTTCCCCCCCCCCAACAGCTAGCAATCCAAAAGAGTCCAGTGGAGCCCGAGCGGTGGGTGTTGCCTTCTGACACACTTCCGGTGATGTCAGGGGGTGTGGCATATGCAAATAAGTTACGCTAATGAGTTATGCTAATGAGCTCCTGAACCTCTTTTTCTACGAAATGACCCCTGGTCACAACCAATGCTCCCTCTCAGCTGTGGAGTCCCGTGACCAAAAATTTTATTTTGCAAGCGACTGGCAGTCAAGTGGTGAGCGAGCGACTCGACTGCTGCATCAATCAGTTTGTTCTGGAGCCCTCCTTCCTGAGCTGACACAAACAATGTGTGAGTTGGGAGGCTAAAAAACTGTGAGCTGGCTCACACTCACTCAGCGGGAACACTGGTCATGACCTTATCGAGGACTGGCACCCCGGCTAGAAAATACTAAAAGGGCAAAGACAGGGGCTGCATGCCACTGCTCCCTCTAAGCTGAGTGAGTGTGAGCTAGCTCGTAGCCTCTGGCTCACACATTTTTCTCTCAGCTCAGGAAGGAGGGCTCCAGAGCAGACTAATTTATGCAGCAGCCAAATCACTCGCTCACAACTTTAATGCCGGCAGCTCACAAAAGGAGAATTTTTGCTCATGAGACTCCACAGCTTAGAGGGACCATTGGAGCCATCCGTTTTAAGTGCAGTTTGGACGAGACGGGAACTTACTCTTGGTCCGACTTCTTGACGGTGACCGCAATCGTCTTGAGCTTATCGACCGCCTGCCAAAACAAGGCGACAATCAGTTGGTTTTCTCTGACCCTCCATCTGCCACGTGCCCTGCTCTTTCAAGCGCTACGTCTCTCCCAGGTATTACGATTGCTGCATAGTTCCGTTTTACCAGCCGCTGCTTAAGATCATTGAAATGTCTTGATTTATACCTGGGAGAGACGTAGGGCTGTTATTCTCTCTACAGTGGGCGTCTTCTGCCCCAGTTACTTGGTTTGGAGGTCTATGGACACTGTTTAGGTACCGAATTACAGAGGAACCTACTGGGGTTTTTTTTGGGGGGGGGACGGACAGTGGGAGGTCTTCTAGCATCCTGGCCCCACTGCTGGACCTCCTGATGGCCCCTGGTCTTTTGGGCCACTGTGTGACACCAGTGTTGGGTTTTGAACACGTTCCCCTTTGTAAATAATGCTTCATTGTTTAGCTTGGAGAAACGACAGCTGAGGGGTGACATGATCGAGGTTTATAAGACTATACATGGGACAGAGCAGGTAGAGAAAGGACTTTTCTCCCTTTCGCACAATACAAGAACTCGTGGGCACTCCATGAAATTGCTGAGTGGTCGGGTTAGAACAGATAAAAGGAAGTCCTTCTTTACCCAAAGAGTGATCAACACATGGAATTCACTGCCACAGGAGGTGGCGGCGGCTACAAGCATGGGCTTCAAGAATTAGATAAACATATGGAGCAGAGGTCCATCAGTGGCTATTAGCCACAAGGTATAGATAGGAACTCTCGGTCTGGGGCAAGTGATGCTCTCTATCTTGGTGCTGGGGGCGGGTAACAGTGGGAGGGCTCCTGGTGTCCTGGCCCCACTGCTGGACCTCCTGATGGCACCTGGTATTTTTGGCCACTGTGTGACACAGAGTTTTGGACTGGATGGCCCACTGGCCTGATCCAACCTTGGCTTCTCTTATGTTCTTATATGGAGCAGAAATCCATCGGTGGCTATGAGCCACAAATTCTAGATAGGAACTCTTAGGCTGGGGCAAGTGATGATTTGTAGTCCTGGTGCTTGGGGAGGGGGGCAACAGTGGGAGGGCTTCTAGTGTCCTGGCCCCACTGCTGGACCTCCTGATGGCAACTGGTATTTCTAGCCACTCTGTGACACAGAGGGTTGGACTGGATGGGCCATTGGCCTGATCCAACATTGGCTTTTTATGTTAAGAGCAGAGGTCCATCAGTGTCTCTTAGCCACAAGGTATAGATAGGAACTCTCAGTCTGGGGCAAGTGATGCTCTGTAATCTTGGTGCTGGGGGGAGGGGCAACAGTGGGAGGGCTTCTGGAGTTCTGGCCCACTTGCTGGACCTCCTGATGGCACCTGGCATTTTTGGCCACTGTGTGATCCAGAGTGCTGGACTGGGTGGGCCACTGGCCTGATCCAACACGGGCTTCTCTTATGTTCTTATTGATATGAGCAACCTGTTGGATATACCCTTATACATTCTGCTGGGTTATGACCGCTAACCCATCTTTGTACCGGAATGTAATATACAGCTTTGATGATATATAGATGTGAACTGTCAATGGCCTTCCCTTGGTGGGTGTTATTTATGGCAACACGGGGAAGCTTCTCAATTGTACGCCTTGGAATAGGGAAACCACTGCCTACTCCAGGGATTTCCCAACGTGGTGTGCCCATGGGAGACACGATGCCAGCCGACACCCTTCCTGGGGCTCGTCAAGCGTTTCCACAAAGTGGGCCAGGCGGGGCTTTCGCCCAGCGAGGCTGATTGATGAGCAACTAAAGTTTTGATGGGCTGTGCAGATTTTTAAAAAATGTTGCTTTGGCGGCAGCTGCCACACATCAAGGACCTTCACGGTGTGTGTCTTAAGACAGATCCAGGTGGTCAGCCGTGATTGGTCTGAAGCAGGAGAACAGAGTCAGAGTCCGGTGGCACCTTTAAGACCAACACCTTTGTGTTTAAGACCTTCGCTGATCTCAAAGGTGCCACTGGACTCTATAACTGCGTGCCTGAAGGAAAGCTGGGACGGCTGTTTTGTGTGTCAGAACTCGAAAGGTGCCCACGGGCTCAAAGAGGTCGGGACCCCTGCTCTACGTCAAAGATTAAACGAGAAAAAGCCACATGGGTCGATCAGATAAATGACTTCTTTTGTTTAACAGGCCAACGGCATTTTTAGTTCTTCGGCCCTGGACGGCATTCAGAACCCATTCCAGATTCTCCTTGTCCTTCCATCCCGGTATTTATTAGACATGAGTTTCTAAAACGCATGCAAGCTCCCAGGAGCCTTACCAACTGCGTGGCGGTGCGGAAGGCCCGGATGATGATCTGGGGGTGCAGGCCTTCCTCCACATAGGACTTCACTTGCTTGAGGAATTCGGCGGCCAGGAGGGTGACCGAGGTGGTCCCGTCACCAACCTGCAAAGGGGGGGGGGGGAGAGAAATGAACAGACCTAAATGTAGGGCTTTTTCTGGGAGACTCACCAAGGGGCCTGCTTCTCTTGCTCCCGGCTCTCAGCCCCATCTGTCTCTTCACATTCCTTCTCATGGGCCAGCCGCTTGCCTGGCACGGCAAAAATCAACGTCAGAGACTTCCTTCCGAGAGAGAGGACGCGTAATGATTTCATGTTTTGGTGTGTGTGTTTCTTTAAGTGTTTAGTTTGACGGCAGTAATGTAAGGAGAGTGCTAGAGGGAGATAAGTGTGATGTCACTGGCTGATGACTGAGAATGTGGGAGGAGAGATGTCTCTGAGTGGGTTCTGTGTTTGTAGAAAGACGGGTGTGGAGGGCTTGTGAGAGTCTGTATGGCAGAAGAAGCAGTTTGAATCTATTCTGTGTGACTAAGACGAACAGTTTAGCCTGCGTGGCTATGAGCAAGAGAGAGATTTGTGTGTCAGGGTTGAGTTTTGGTATTTGAAAGACTGTGTGTGACGCCAAGCTTTGTCGGTTATATTTTCTTTCTTCAACAACAGTTCAAAAAACACCCAGAAACCCATTTTGTTCTTTTATAAATAAATACTATTTGTTTAAACTTATCCCAGAAATCAGAACAGTCCTTCCCCAGGGCCACATAGCCCTCTGAAATGCCCAGACACAGGGTCTGGATTTGGAATTCCTGGTGGCAGCAGAAATCTACTAAGTTCATGTACCCAGAGTGTGTTTTAAAGGAGAAAGTCTCCCCCTATAAGCAAGGACCTTACAGAATGTTTCTGGGCTCAACGGTGCTTCAGTAGACTCATGCAGAGAGGTGCTTCTCATACCCACTAAAGGCTTAATAAAGCTCAGAAAATAATTGCACGAAGAGATTCGAGCACAACTGCCCCCTTCTTCCCACCTCTGCATCCTGCGACTTGGCAATGTCCACCAGCGTCTTTGCAGCGGGGTGTATCACATCTAGGAGCTTCAGGATGGTGGCGCCGTCATTGGAGATGGTCGCTTTGCCTACAGCCAAGATCATAATAAGATGTCCCGGTAACATGACAGCAAGTCAGCTGAGATTCTAAACATTTGGGCTAATCCCTAAGTTCCCAACACAAGGAAAGCCATCCCGGATCAGTCCAAAGGGCCCATCGAGTCCAGTTTCCTGTTTTCCGTAGTGGCCAGCCAGAGAACCCCATAACAAACAAGGCACAGAGGCCAAAGCCTCCCTGTTATTACCCCCATCTCCCCGCACTAGTTTGTGGCTAAGCTGCTCAGATAAATTAAAGGGTTAAGAGCTCAACAGCAGCATATTAGGACAATAAAGATACCATAGTGACTGATGACGAAGATAGATTCCAAAGCACGGCTGTGTCCCAGAACCACATTCACTCTTTTCTCCAGTACCCCGAATTCTGACTTCCTGATATGAAATAACATGCCAACGTCTAATTTACAGATCTACAAAAACAATCCTCTAGGAGTCCTACCATTAAGGTAACTGAACAAAGTTTGAGTCCAGCGGCACCTTTAAGACCAACAAAAGTTTAATTCGGGACCAATGCTCCCTCTAAGCTACGGAGTCTTGTGCGTAAAAATTCTCCTTTGTGAGCTACTGGCGTTAAAGTTGTGAGTGAGTGATTGGGAAACTGCATAAATTTGCTTGCTCTGGAGCCATCCTTCCTGAGCTAAGACAAAAATGTGTGAGCCAGAGGCTAAAAAACTGTGAACACTGTTCTGGACACACATGAAAGCTTCTACCCAGAATTAAACTTTGTTGGTCTTAAAGGTGCCCCTGGACTCAAACGTTGTTCCGCCGCTTCAGACCAAAATGGCAACCCACCTGAGTCTATTAAGATAACTGGACTGTTGATACAGAAATTCCTTTGGGGAGGGAGAATACTTCCCACCAAAGCCCACGGATGCCAACTGTTCAAGGACTGCTTGGTCCTTACGCTGAAGAGCTACTCTTTTCTATCTTTTTAGGGGCAGACTAGCCTGAAGTTAGTCTTCCGACTGGGCAAAAACCTCAAGAAAAACAACGTCCACCTGGCAGCAAAGGCATTTGGTACTACACCCCTCCAAATCTGGATGATGACCAACCCTAACAAATCTGCATCGATGTTCAACTCATTCGTTTTAGTTTTATTTACGGCTGAAGCCAGCAATTGACATTTGAAACTCTACAAGCTTCGGTAGTAAAAACAGCTATGAATAAAGGTAAAAGGGCTTAACAGATCAGTAAAACACATTATAAAATACATTATAAATTCCTTAAGAGGTAGACGGTTAACAATAAAACGATTAACATTTAACCTGCTGCGTTATTATAGATTTTCTAATTCTTAAAACACTCCGTCCAAATCTGGCCACTTGGTGCGTTACCTCCGAGTGCCTATCTGTGAGGAGATTTTTTCATAATACGAGCTCTTTGCCTGCTGGTGAAAGGAAAGAACTTGGGGAATGGAAGAGATTCCCAGAGAATGTTCCAACTCAGATAGCTCAGGAACAGCTAGAGGAGAGCTACCATGCAGAGCTGTTGTATGGAAAGCATCGTTCTGTTTGCGGACAGCTTGACAACAGGCAGGCGGGCTTACCTCTGTCGTCGACGATGAGCTTGTCCATGCCCCGGGGGCCGAGGGTGGTGCGGACAGCCTCGGCAATGACCTGGCAGGCCGTGATATTACTGACAAGCTGTGGGACACCCTGAGAGGTGTCCGTGCCCTCCTTCAGCAGATAGAGGTGTTAGACAAAGAGCCTCCCGGGACTTACAAAGCAAAACACATAAACACAACCAGACAGTGCAATAACTACAGCCCTTTACACTCGAAAGATCAGGTTTTATTTGACGGGTTATAACAGCAGCCAGAATCTCGTTTGCAACGATATGGAGAACATTGATAGAGATGTAAAATTTCCGGAAATTTTGAAGCTCGGAAAAAACCCCGTTTTTTTTCCGGGGGAAAACGGAAATTTTTGGAAAAATTGAAAAAAATGCTACATTAACATTTCTTTTGTCTTTTCTAGATTGAAAGTCATTCTGTTACTTTAGGGACATAAAATATGTGTTACTTTAGAAACATAAAATATGAGTATGGACATTTTTACTTGGCATGAAATTATCACAGCTAGCATATTAAAAATATAGTGTATCCAAACAACTAGTACAAACAGAATACCCTCCCACGTGCAAAAACAAAACTGAAACTTTTATTTTCTTCTGGCAATCGCACCTCCTAAAGGAAGAAATGCATCTTGTTCTTGCATTGGAGAGTTCTGTTTGTAACCTAGGACTTGCTTGTCCTCAGTGCACAGAATTAGATCAATCTGATACCATATATATGTATTTTAGAAATTATTTGGAAAATATTTGAACACTTTGTTTTAAAATATTTTATTCATCATGTTAAAATAAAACATTCCATAGTCAATTTTTTTTTCTTTTTTCAATTTTTCCAATTTTTCGGAAAAAAACAAAAAGGCTTCAGGAAAAAAATGGGGGGAAAAACCAGTTTTCCCCCGAATTTTTCCGTTTTTCCCCAGGCCTTCACATCTCTAGACATTGACAATCCCGACGCTTCATGAGTTGATAACGAAGATTACGGGATGTGCTGAACTGGACAGATTGACAAATATACTAAAAGGAAAAAATGGAAGAATTTATGGGACCACGGAGGGCGTTTTATGACTGGTTAAAACTTAAATACTAAGACACTAAGACTAAATGAAGAACAATAAGAAAGATGGCTATAATAGTTGTGAAACTTTCGGGAGGGGCTTTGCATGCAGAATGCTACTTTGGAATCTTTTATACAACCCTACTCTCCCCCCCTTTCTTTTCCCTTTCCCCCTTTCTATATATAAACTAATAAAAATTAAAAAAAGAAAGAAAGATCAGGATTATTACGCCTAGAATTTCCCACAAGCAGAAGACAGGTAAGTAGAACAGCAAGAGAATGCAGTGACAAATTCAAGGCTTTCTATGCAACACTGTTCCATTTCCCGAGGTTCAGGACACTATTAAAGCGGTCACCTGTAACCCACCTATACTGGCCCAGCGTATGGCTGATCTCCCCCGATGGTGTGGAAAGTTCACTAAGCCCCCAAATCAGGGACAGGAGGCTGCGACCAACACTGACTCCACGAGCAAAGTGAAAAATTAGTTAAGAGATAGAGGTGAAATGGGCAGCAAGCAGCGACAGAGCTTCTTCTGTGCTTCTGCCACTGGAATGCCAGAACCCAGAAGGCCGGCAACATATAGGCACCGGATCGAAAGCAATTTTGTCTGCCCACTATTTTCACTGCTTCCCATCCCACTTTTTTTTGGAATCTTTTATACAACCCTACTCTCCCCCCCTTTCTTTTCCCTTTCCCCCTTTCTATATATAAACTAATAAAAATTAAAAAAAGAAAGAAAGATCAGGATTATTACGCCTAGAATTTCCCACAAGCAGAAGACAGGTCAGTAGAACAGCAAGAGAATGCAGTGACAAATTCAAGGCTTTCTATGCAACACTGTTCCATTTCCCGAGGTTCAGGACACTATTAAAGCGGTCACCTGTAACCCACCTACACTGGCCCAGCGTATGGCTGATCTCCCCTGATGGCGTGGAAAGTTCACTAAGCCCTCAAATCAGGGACAGGATTCTGCGACCAACACTGACTCCATGAGCAAAGTGAAAAATTAGTTAAGATATAGAGGTGAAATGGGCAGCGAGCAGAGACAGAGCTTCTTCTGTCTTGGCACTCTGCCGCTGGAATGCCCGAACCCAGCGGCAACATACAGGCACAAGATCAAAAGCAATTTTGTCTGCCCACTATTTTCACTGCTTCCCATCCCACTTTTTAGACAGTCAAGCTTAATGTCTCTTATGGACTTTATGGTCTCGGTTCTGCCTTAGCAGGTAATTTTATTTGTGTTGTTTTGTCTGAATATTAGTTCTTTTGCCTGGCATCTTTCTGGTTGGACTCAAGTACATGAGGGGCTGTGCTGCTGACAGGAAAAGGGCTTGGAATGCTCAGAAACCCTGGGGCTGAGAAGCAAAAGATATATACGTGCATAAAGCAGAGCCCTGCTGGATCAGACCAGTGAGGGTCCACCTAGTCCAGTGGTCTACGTAGCACAGCATCCTGTCTCACACAGTGACTAACCAGTTCCTCTGGAAGGCCAGCAACAGGGCAGAGAGGCCGAGGCCTTCCCCTGATAAGAACCTCAGAAGAGCCCTGCTGGATCAGACCAGGGAGGGTCCACCTAGTCCAGCCTCCTGTCCCACACAGGGGCCAACGAGTTCCTCTGGAGGGCCAACAACAGGGCAGAGAGGCTGAGGCCTTCCCCTGATGTTATCCCCTGGGATTCAGCAGTTGACTGCCTCTGAACATGGAGGTTCCCTTTAGTCACCATGGCTAGTAGCCACTGGCAGACTGTCCAATCATGTGTTGTTCATGTGCCCTGTCCCCTTAAACAGAGGCTTAAGGTATGGAAATGTGCTGATGATGCTTTTCATAGCATGATGGTCAGTAACGTCACCTATAAAAACCTCCCATTAAGCCTCTACTAAAGGGACAGAAGTATTCCCCTCCAGCCTTCTGGCAACCCTGCTTAGAGAACAGATGCTTCCAGTCATACTAGATTTGTGTTTTGAGGGGTACTTTAAAGGACGGCACACTCAGGCGTTGTATCCCCCACCTGCACTTATTATTGACTTTATATATACCCCACCTTTTCTTTCCAATGGAGACCCAAAGTGGCTTACGTTTGTTCTCACCCTCTCCAGCTATAAAGCAAACCGGATGTCCTCAACCCAGTCCCTTTCATAAGAACACAAGAAAAGCCCTGCTGGATCAGACCAAAGTGGTCCCTCTAATCCAAGGGTCCATCCAGTCCAGCCTCCTGTCTCACACAGTGGCCAAGCAGTTCCTCTGGACAGCCAATAACAGGGCATGGAGGTCGAGGCTTTCATAAGAACGTAAGAGCCCTGCTGGATTTGACTGGTGATCCACCTAGAACAGAAGGTCACAGAGGCTGAGGCCTTTCCCTGATGTTGCCTCCTGGCTCTGGGATTCAAAGAAGTAGTGCCTCTGAATATGGAGGTTCCCCTCAGCCACCATGGATAGACCTGCATTCTTCCCCTCAGCCACCATGGCCAGTAGCCATGGATAGACCTGCATTGGGCAGGGGGTTGAACTAGATCAGTTGTGGCGAACCAATGGCACGGGTGCCAGAGGTGGCACTCAGAGCCCTCTCTGTGGGCACGCGTGCCATCGCCCCAGCCAGGCCCAGACCATCATTAAAGTGTCGAATTCTCTGCCAAATAATTGTAAGTCAATGAAAGCATTTGGGATTGCTTTCCTTACTTTGTTTGGATCATCTTAAGTTAATGTATGAGTTGTTTTTTCTAAAGTAAAACCTCAGTATTCAGGTTAAATTGCGGCACCTGGTATTGTTGGCCACTGTGTGACACAGAGTGTTGGACTGGATGGGCCACTGGCCTGATCCAACATTGGCTTGGTGTAGCAGTTAAGTGCGCGGACTCTAATCTGGGAGAACCGGGTTTGATTCCCCACTCCTCCACTTGCACCTGGCTGGATGACCTTGGGCACGCCATAGTTCTGATAAGAGCTGTTCTCGAAAAAGAGCCGTTTCTGTCGGAGATCTCTCAGCCCCGCCGACCTCACAGGGTGTCTGTTGTGGGGAGGGGAAGGGAGAGGAGTTTGTCAGCTGCTTTGAGACTCCTTCGGGTAGTGAAGGGCGGGGTATGAATCCAATCTCTTCTTCTTCTACAAGGATTTGGGGAGGGGGGGTCACTCTATCCACTCTGTCTGCCCCCAATAAACAGTTTAAAGAGAAGGTGCAGAAAAACCCCTCTAAGCATTGCAAGGGAGAAAAAAGAACGCCAGGGACAAATATGTCATTCTCCTCCTTGAGAGATTGCAGCCACAGGCTGGACAGGGAAGCAGAGACAGGAGAATATATCCCAATGTGTAGTGAAGGGCGGGGTATAAATCCAATTTCTTCTTCTTCTACTAGGATTTGGGGAGGGGGGGTCGCTCTATCCACTCCGTCTGGCCCCAATAAACAGTTTTAAAGAGAAGGTGCAGAAAACCCCCTCTAAGCATTGCAAGGGAGAAAAAAGAACACCAGGGACACATATGTCATTCTCCTCCTTGTGAGATTGCAGCCACAGGCTGGACAGTGAAGCAGAGACAGGAAAAGTTGCCAGGAGATGTCGGGGGTATTGAAGTCTGCCGGGCAGAGACGCACCCCAAAAGACTCTCATTCCCAGCGTGCACCGGGAGACTACAGGAACTGTTGCAGACCCCCGTGTAATACTCCGAGGACGGGGTGCTGAGAAAAGCCGACGAGCGCAGGCTGGAACAGAAAGAAATCTGGACCACGAGCTCCCCAGCCCACGGCGTGCGGAAACGGCACCCGCATCACAAGACTACATCTCCCGGCATTCCCCGCGCGGAGCACTCCGTTCCAAAACCAGAGCCGGCTCACGAAGAGCTTGCCGGTAGTCGTAGTGCCCACGAAACCCTTAACGACGACGCCCTTCTACCCCGCGAGGACAGCGGCGATGGGGGGGCGCTCCGTATTTCCCTCTCGCGGCCTCTAAATCTCCTCAGCCCCCACCAATATCGCCCGGTCCCCACCGGGGAGACTCTCCCGGGGGCGGAAGACCCGGCGAAGAAGGAGCCGAGCCCGTCCCCGAGGCGGATGGAGGCCGATAACCCTCCCCATTCTCCTTTCACTCACCATCATCTTGACGGCTCAGCCCGGGCTAACGGTCCCTTCCCACAATGCCCTTCGCGCGCACCTAGAAGATTCCCGCGGGGAGGCGGGCCAAGCCGAGGAGGCGGAGCTTAAAGAAGCGGAAAGGCCTGTCCCGGGAAAGGGGAACTCTGTGCTGAAATGATGGGAAAGAGCGGCCCCTGCCCAACGGGTCACCATAGAGATGGAGGTATTCAGTGGCTGCAGCCGCTAGCCGGGGAATGATTTCTCCCTGCAGGCGGCTGCCAGAAGGGGCGGGCCAGGAGACCAGGGTTACCAACTGTGGGTTGGGAAATTACTGGAGATTTTCTTTCCCACTCCTGGCTCACGACATGACCCTCAAAAGCTTTGCCCTGGAAATCTTGTTGGTGCTACTGGACTCAAACCTACATTTTCTCCAAGGTTGCCAACTCCAGCTGGGAACATTCCTGGAGATTTGGGGGGTGTGTGGAACCCTGGGAAAGTGGCTTTTGGGGAAGAGGACGGAGAAACAGCATTGGGGTATAATGCCATCCAGTCCACCCTCCAAAGCTCCCGTTTTCTCCAGGGGAACCCGTTCTCTGTACTCCGGACGGGAGAAGAGTTGCAATTCTGGGAGATCTAAGGGCTGTACCTGGAGGTTGGCTACCAGAGCAACTGAAGTCAGATCAGTGGGATTGTATGGAGATGTGTGCCTTGACTCCCAATACTGGAAAAGAAAACTGGCCGAGCTTGGTGTGGTGTATCGGTTAGAATGGGATCGGGTTCGAATTGACCTCACCACTGAAACTGCAGGGCACCCCCATTCCCCCCCCCC